ACGGCGCAGGGCAAGCGGCTGGAGGGAGCAGCTCTGCTGTGGTTTGGTTCCTTCTCGTTGCTCGGTGCGTGGCCTTGGGCTGCGTGTTTGGCAGTTCCTGGCGCTCTGAATTCAGCACTGTTCCTCTCCACGGGGGCTTTTCCCTGGCACCTCCTCGCTGGAGTATCTGCGTGCTTCACAGGCGGAGAAGGAAATCGTGTTCTCGGTGTTCCCGTGTGAGGGCAACAGATGGCCATCGTGAATGACTTTGATCCGCCGTGTTCAGATGTGGTTCAGGCTTCGGATGGAGGACTTCAGCCTTTCAGGGCACTTTCACCCCGTAAAGCAGGGTTCCTCCTGGCTACTGTGGAGCAGGCAGAAGCTCAGGGAACTTGTCAGCAGTCGCTGTCTGCTGCGTTACCACCCAGATGAGCACCTGCAGAAGTGTGACTCTTGCGAACGCAAGGGTGTCTAGTGGGGAGGTGGGACGTGCCATAAGGTCTGTAAAACTCTGAAGGAGGTCAGGGAACAGTTGTTCACCATTTCCCAAAGTCCAGGGGTAACCAGTGGGGGTGCAGGTAGCGAGCTTAAACCGAGCAAAAAGGAGCTCGCACCGTGTGTGAGGGAGTTGTGGAAGTCGTTGCCCCCGGTGCTGCCGAAGCTGAACTTACCTGCAGATGCAGAAAGGAGCTGGACAAATTCCTGGAGCGCCCTTGGTGTCTGGATGCTGCTTTTGGCTCTTTTAAACCACAAATGAGCAGGGAGGTGGGAGGTTTATTGTGGATGGTGTAGGCTTATTCCTGACTCCTTCCTGTACTTTTTTTCTCCAAGCATCTGCTGCAGCTCACTGCCAGGCAGGATGGTGGGGCACAAGGAGCTGCAGCCTCAGCAGGCAGAACAGTCCCTGTCTCGAAACCAGGCTTGGATGTTTCCAGGTAGAGCTTAGGAGACTTCCAGAGCAATTGCTGCGAGGGGATGGCAGGGTCGCGTACCCAGCCCCGTCCGGAGCAGGAGAGGAAAACCGAACGTGTGAGGCCGATCCCTCCTCGTTATAATCTTTTTCATCTGTCTGCTGAATGAATGTGATTAAAATGAAAGGCAAAATTAGTGGGAATGATAATATTTCAATTGAGTCTAATAGTTTTGCTCACATCGGTATGTTTACTGTTATTAAGACTTACGCATAAGTGCTTGTAACGCGTCCAAGGCCACTGGAGTGCCAAGAACAGGGTCGAGCCAGGAGCACGGCAAATGTGAGCCGGTGCAGCGCCCTTGGCACCACGGAAGGGCGCAGCTCACCCCGGCTGGAAGCCCAGCGCATCTACCCGAGCCTGGCATTCATCACCTGAGGGGCTAAAACCCCGGGTGGGGAACGGTCAGGCTGTGCTTTCACAGCCTGAGTTTCTTCTGTGGTAGTTCCAGGTGTTCCCACTCTCTTCCCTTCCCTCCCAAGAGCAGGGGCTGGCTGAAGTGCTCGCCTTCCCTGCCGTGGCTCTGCTCTTCTCCTGCTTTGGGTGGTTGCCCTATTTGTGTGCTCAGGGCGAGCTCGTTCAGACAGGCAACTTTCTGGAAAGCCCAGGCATGGACCCGTGCCTGGCTCCGTGTCTAGCCCAGTGCAGCAGCAGCAACGTGGAAAAGCCCATTTTCCTTTTTCTGAGACACTTTTTCCAGCCGGGTTGGGTAAGCCTGGCCGGAGGCACGCTGCGGAGGCAGAGGAGTAGGGGTGATGGAGGAGGGAAGCAGGAGCGCCCAGCGGTGATACTGCTGGGAAAAGCCCTTCTAGCTGAGGGCTGGCAGGCGAACAAGAGAGAAGGAGATTTCAGAGTTCATCCCCAACAAACACAACCTTGACTGCCTCAGGCCCATTGCAGAGACGTCTCATGGAGCCGATGGGGTGCGTGAAACTGACAAAGCGGTGGGAGTTCCTTGCAAGGAGATGAGCTGTGCTGCTGAGTCTCTCGGAGAGTGAGGCAGAAGATGAGCTTGTGCTGAGGGAAACATGGCTCAGGAGGACCTCTTTCTTTGCTGGCTCTACTGGTTGCTCGCCACACGAGGTTTCCGCAAGCAAATGCCGTGGCTGCTAGTATCACAGAAGCACAGAATGGTGGGGGTTGGAAGGGACCTCTGTGGATCATCTGGTCCAACCCCTCTGCCAAAGCAGCATCACCTAGAGCAGGCTGCACAGGGCTGCCTCCAGACAGAGTTTGCATATCTCCAGGAAATGAGCCTCGCAAC